GTTACAAACAAATTAACGAACTAATGAACGAATAAATGAACAAACGAACAAATGAACAAACGAACGAACGAACGAACGAATGAATAAATAAATCGATGAATGAATGAATTATGTACACAGAGCAATTCACACACATATCTATATGTTTATGTAAGTGTTGTCACACGTACATACATACAAAAATATATACACACACATACACACACATACACAGTCATACACACACATACGCACGCTAATACATACTTAAACACACCCACACATACATGTATAAATAACATACAAACTTGAGTTCATCTTTATTCGCTGCTGTTGCATTGTTATTTAAATGTGATTGGAGTACATTTAATGATGGATCTAAGGTTTTGTATATATAAAAACTTTGTATATGTAAGTCATACATATATATATACATATACATACATACAAACAAACATACATACATACATGCATACATACATGCATACATATATACATACATACATACATACATACATACATACATACATACATACATACATACATACATACATACATACATACATACATACATACATACTTACATACATACATATATGTATATATATACAATGTCTCAAGTCATTGATTGTTTCATTGCTAACTACAACAAAAACATTTAGCTAAAAGCCGTTTTAAGTTTGTATTTTGAAAAGATAATGACGATGAAGAAGAAGAAAATGATGATGATGATGATGATGGTGACGATTGTTATTACTATTATTGCTATTATATTATTATAATTATTATCTAAATAATTAAATTAAGTTTTTTGGTCAAGTAAAATCAATTCAATTACTATAGCCTCTGTAGTTTGCTTAAGTCAATGATTAATAGGACGACTTTGATGGCGATATGCGAATGATCGTAAAAATGATGAAAATGTTATTGACTAAAACCACAAGAGTTAGGACAATGATGATTATTCTTATTGTCGTAATGACGTCATCCTCCTCAAAAACATCAACAACAACAACTCCTACTACAACAATTACGTCATCATCATCGTCGTTTCCGGCCGATAATCTCATAAAAATCGGTAAGATTGGATAATGATTAAATCATTTTTTTACGAATTACTCATAACTGAATCATAAATATTAAATGCATATTTCAAATTTCATAATGAGAATATATTAGTATCAAGGGTAGTAATAAAGTAGTCGTTATATTGTTATTATTATTCGAAGTAATAGTAGTAGTAGTAGAAGTAGTAGTAGTAGTAGTAGTAGTAGTAGTAGTAGCAGCAGCAGCAATAGTAGTAGTAGTGTAAACATTGTATTCTTATCTGCGTAATTTGTATCATAAACATCATTCAAATAATTTCACCATTGACATTTACCCGAGGTAAAGGCCACCCCCACTCACGCACATCTCCTTACGTCATCGGTGACGTCACTACTGCCGCTAACGATGAAAGGGAAGTCGTCAACGATGACGCCATGACGACGTCGTCGTCGTCGTCGTCGAAATACAACATCAAGCGACCAATCAGCTTCAAGTCTTTTGACTCTTATGTACTCACCAATTTGAAAATTAAAGGTTATTATTGTTGTTGTTGTTGTTTTATTGTTAGTGTTAATGTTATTATTACTACTAATTACTGGTAACAATAATAATTAGAAGAATAATAACCATAATAATGATAGCATTAATAACAATAATTTTATTTATAATAAAATTAATTTGTTCATTGAAGGAACTTTCAGCATATATTTTCTCTTCAAAACGAACCACCCAAATGGCCTAATTATGTATGCATCTGGACTGAAGAGGCGGGTCCTAAGGCATGTTAGCAAACATCAGCTAGCCAATCAATATCTAGGTCATATAATCATCAACCAATCACAGAACGGGTTGCAGAGAGGCGTTAGCGAGACTAACCAATCGGAGCGGTTTATTAATAAAGCTGACCAATCAGAGTCGTTTAACAGTTTGCAAAATTTTGATGATTCAGTACCTTTGCCACCTCAGATAAAACCGCCATTTAAATCGCCATCATCATTCTCTTCATCATCATCGTCAATATCAACTCCTAGAGATGATTTCATTGCAATAGAATTAGTGGACGGAGCTATAAAATATGTTTACAGTGTGGGCGGAGTCACGAACGATTTGATTGGCTGCTTAGAAAATGGGTCATTCAGTGACAACCAATGGCATAGCGTTTTCATTCTGAGGCCAACTTTGAACCAACATATACTGAGAGTTGACGATATGGCAAGGTTTGATTTGATTAGTTGGCTGGTAGGTTAATTGGTTAAGTGTTTGATTTGATTGGTTGGTTATTTAATTGAGCTGCTGTGTGATTGGTTCAATAAATAAATGGTGAAACAATTTGATTGATTGACTGATTGGATGTTTTATTGATCTAATAATCATCAATATTACCTGCAAAGTCATAATCGTCCTCACAAACACCATCATCATCACCATCAACATCACCATCATCATGATGTAGTTAATGTTCACTCACAAAAACCAGATTTGACCGATACTACGATGATGATGACGATGAAGAGGATGATGAAGATGATGATAAGAAGAAAATGCGTAATCATCGTAATGATAACGATAGCCATAATAATAATAATAATAATAATAATAATAATAACAACAACAATAATCGTAAGCAAAATAATAATATCAGTAACTATACTAATAATAATAACAGTGGCGATGAAACTATTGATAATGATGATGATAATAATAATAATAATAACAATGATAATAATGATAATGACGTCATCGATGGCGCCAATAATAGTAATGACGTCACTGATGATGATGATGAAGAAGAAGTAGATGATGATGAAGAAGAGGATGACGCGATGTTCAAACTGAGTGAAGAATTTTTTATCGGAGGTAAACCATTTCCGCTGTTACTAACATCATCTTCACAGCATTATTATCATTACTCTGATCGTTTTATCGTAAAAGGCGGCAGGATAGTGTAATGGTTGAAACCGCTGGCACTGATTTCGTAGAGACCGCGTTCGAATGCAGAGATATCCCTGCTTATCTTCGTCGTCGTACATTAAAATGAATAATACGACATTTTATATTTATGTTAAATTTTAAGAAGCACTGTCAAGCACTTGAAAAAAACGTCATATAAATTGCAATTGTGAATGAAGAAATTAATATATAACAATGTATGAGTGAATGAACAAATGAATGAACTAACAATCGACTAAACAAACAAACAAACGAACGAACGAACGAACGAACGATTAACTAACATTGTGTATAAAAAAACCATTGCAGGCTTACCACACGACAAATATAACTACATCAAAGCAATCAACAACAACAACAACAAACACATCACTTCAACGCACGGATTTAAAGGATGCCTGGCCTCTCTGGATCTTGACGGAAACGAAGAGAGCCTTCTAGAAACCGGAAGAGCTATCGTATTTCCGGAACATAGATATGACGTAATTTCCGGCTGTGTGGGTTCGTTTTTTTTTTATTTCGCATTTCGCTTCTTTGTAAGAGCTTTCTTAAATGCGCGATTATTTTATGTCATAAATTTCAAATATTTCAAGACTTTAATTCATTTTCTTTAAACAAATAAATACATAAATTAATTAATTGATCAATTTGTTAATTTAATTAATTTAATTCGTTAATTGAACGACAGCCGATAATAAAGAGATTTCTAAAGGTTTTGTTGATATATTACATTATAAATGAATTAAGAATTATAGAAAATATCTTTGTGACGTTATTTGATACAATAATAATAGTAATTATTATCATAATAATTATTATTAATTATTGTAATTATTATTATTTCTATGTTTCGTAGAATGGTGTCTTAGTTGGCGTAAAAGTTTTTGTTGCTTCTTTAACAAAATTTTTCACAAGTTGTACTGAAAAATTTTGTCAATTTTTGTTATCATCACCATCATCATCGTCATCATCATCATCATTATCATCATCAACGTCATCGTCATCATCGCCATCATCATCATCATCATCATCGTCATCATCATTGTCGTCATCATCATTATAACCA